AAGAGCTTTCCAGGTTCACTGTCGGGGGCCGGCGGGCTGAGCCCCATCAGCAACCCTCCCAATGGCTTCACCTTCAGTGGGAGCCTGGCTGCCGATCTCAGTTTACACAGCTTCAGTGATGGTGCTTCTCTCTCCCACAAGGCCCCTGAAGTGGCCAGCCTGGGTGCCCCCCTGAGCTTTTCTGCCCCAAGGGGTAAGGAGGGCAGTGCAGAACCCTGCCCCTTTGTGAACAAGAGGCAGCTGGATGGACTGGGTGGCCCAAAGGGCGAGGGGGTCAAGGGCAGGGAGGCAGAGGTCAGCCTGCCTGTGTGCACGCCCTCAGACAAGGCCTCATCGCATGGCAAGGTGGGCAAGAGCCGGGACCGTGAGCCTGACTTCAAAAACGGCCACAATCTCTTCATTTCTGCCGCTGCTGTGCCTCCTGGGGGCCTCCTCAGCAGTCCAGGCCTCACCACAGCAGTGTCCTCAGCAGGTGGCACGGCCCCCTCCTCCCAGACACACCGGCCCTTCCTGGGCACTTTTACACCTGGCCCACAGTTCGCCTTGGGCTCCATGTCCCTGCAGGCCAACCTAGGCTCTTCTGTGCTACAGTCCTTGTTCAGCTCCGTGCCAGCTGCTGCTGGCCTAGTACATGTCTCATCCGCCGCAACCAGACTGACCAACTCGCACGCCATGGGCAGCTTTTCCTCCGGTGTGGCAGGTGGCGCAGTTGGAGGTAGGCAGAAGCGCGTCTCTCCTGTCTGACTCTCAGGTCCCACAGGATGTGCTCTGGGGTCTGAGAGGCCAAGCCATCGAGGAAGCCTCCTGGACCACTGCATTTAATCACAACTGCTTTACAGGTTTCCTTCCAGAGCCCTCTAAGGGGTGAGAGGCTGTGCCCGCGTGTCCCTTTGTGTCCACTTTGCACCCGCCACCTCGTTCCTTTTCACGAAACGCAGATATGACTCACATGGGCAGAGCACTCACGCGTGAGTTGGCCTGTCAGGCTTTCCAGTTGTGACAATGTCTCTCGTACCTTCAGGAGAGCTGGCGCCGTGACTAGAGCTTTTCTGCCTCCCCATGGAGGTCACCTTCAGACCTGACATAGCCCATGGCTCTGGGCACCCTTGGGGACTGGCAGTGCAAGAGAGTGACCACAGCGCCTACTGCACTGTGGCTCTGTGTAGGGTGGAGTGGAGCCATAGGGTGGGCCCTCTTCGGTCCCAGACCTCCACAGATGGCTCCTTGCTGGGCAAAGGTGGGAAATATGCCCCCAGTTGGCAGCCTAGGTGGGCGTGCTGAGGGGGGTATGGCCTGGGGCCATCCTGCAGGTAAGTCTCACTTGGTGACCTGCACTCCTGCTGCCTGCTGCTTTGTCCCTGCACCTGCGTGCACTCAGAGCTGCGGCTGCTTGTCTGCTTCCCCTTTTTTGCGTGTGTCTCTTCGCTTGCCTGGAGAATGCCCGCCTGTTGAAGCTGAGTTTTTCTCTCCTGTTTGCAGGTATCTTTAACCACACGGTGCCTTCCGCCTCCACTCATCCGTTTGGAGCCAGTTTCGGCAGCGGGGCTGCTTGTCGCAGCACCACGCTGAGCTTAACCCCCATGCAGGCGGTGGCCAGTACCCCCGCCTCTTCCTTTCAGGCCCTGTCCTCTGTGGAGACGAGGCAGCCCCCACCCCAGCCTCCTTTGCCCCTGGGTCGGCCCCCTGCGGGGCCACCAGCACTTCATGCACCCCCCCCTCCTAACGCTACCTTGCCTCCTGCTCCCGCACTGCTCCCTGCTAACTCTGAGCCCGTGCTCCTGCAGAATCTTGCGCCCCTCCCAACTAACCAAGCTTTCTTACCTGCTTCCTCTGCTGCCTCTCTGCCTCCTGCTAACGCCTCTCTGTCAATCAAGCTCGCCTCCCTCCCACACAAGGTCTCCCGCCCCTCCTTCATGGTGCACCACCAGCCCCTGCCTGGGCTAGCCCTGGCCCAGGCCTCGCCCTTGATCCAGCAGGCCAGCTCCACTGGGCCATCCGCCGTATGGGTTTCCCTTGGCATGCCGCCTCCTTATGCCGCGCGCCTTGCGGGGGTTAAGCCGCGATAAAGACCTTGGTTAGCTAGCCGTTCTGTTCTGTAAGGTAAGGCTAGAGCCCAACCAGGTGGCCCGTACAAGAAACTCACCTGTCCTTTCTTCCACAGAGAGTGGACGGGCCCACAGGGCTCTTCAGAGGAGCCTGGGACTGTCAGTTCTGAGAGGCACCAAGGAAAAATAAGCACAGGGTGGGAAGGGAGACCATGGCACCATGCACATTGGCCTCTGATTGCTGCCTGAGCTCCACCACAGAACTCGGGAGGGGAGTAACCAGCCCCTGATGCCCACTGGACCTTCCCACCAGTGCTCCAGCCCAAAGAGGCAGCAGATCAGGGAGGCCCTGCAGGCTGGGCAGGCAGGGTACTGCATTAAGTCCTGCATGGAGGGGACCAGGAGGTGGTGGATGAGGCCAGGGCCCTGGCCTGTGCAGCCTAGCTTCATCTTGTTGCCACCATCCAGCTGCATGTCTGCAGTGGTCAGGGACCCAGGGAGCCCCAGTGTGGGGCTGTGGGGGCACCTCTGAATCTCAGCGCTGCCGTTTGCCCACTCTTCGGCTTCTCTCATCCTGTTTTGTTGAATGTACCTCATGGTTTTAGGGAAATTTTATACATTTGAGGCTCCTGGTACTTAGGCCTTCAGAAGACCGTGGTTGTGCATAGAGCTACCTAGCTAGCCTGCAGGCCCCAACCCACATGCACCAGAGGCCGATGGATAATGGGGTGAGCATGGCACAGCCACAGGAAGGGCTGCTTGGACAGGTGATCAGTGCTCCTCTGGCCTCCAAGGAATTGGGTCCATGCATTTTGGATGTTAGTGTGGTCAGAGGTGAACAGTGTGGGAAGGGCCTGATGTTGAAAATGGGATGAGAAAGGTGGCTGTGAGGCCTTCAGGAAGGCCATCTGCTCCTTTGCTGGCTGTGAGGGTGTTAGACAGCTGGACCCCTGGAGCAGCTGATCTGGCCACTGCTGGTGGGGCAAAGGGCCTTCCTGGGCGAGTCCACAGCCTACGGGGTGAGTACCCCAGGATCAAGCTGGGTGCTAACTGGGAACCAGGGGCCAGGTGAGGTCTGCCTGCTGTCCTTGGCCATCTGCATGTGTTTAAATGGAAACAGACCTGAGGCTGCAGGAGTCTGAGAGTCTTCTGGTAGTGGCTCAGGTCTGGGGATGGGCTGTGTCTAGTCCTGGTGGAAAAGCCTAGAAGGTGGGGTGGCTCCAGTTCACAGTAGCCTCATGCTGTCAGAGAAGGCACTGTGGCTGGGACCGGCTTGAAGAGGTCAGAGATGTGTATGTGGAGGCATCTGGGTGTCAGGCTCCATGTCCTGACCCATCTTGGACACCTGCCTTCCATCCTATCCCGGGACCATTACAGGTGGTCTCCCTAGACTGGACAGTGATGACTTTACTTCTGGGGCGTGCAGGCCTGTCAGTGGGGTTGCCCATAGGCGTGCGTCCCCCCATCCCAATGAGCTGGCATGTGGTGAGCAGGGAGGGTCTTGGTTCCAAGGCTCTGAGGGAGGTGGGGAGGCTGGGACCCAGTGCCCCATGAAGGGCCTTGGGATGGTGACCTCCCACCTCTGATTGGGCCAGGGCAGTGTTTACAGCTAAGTTCCTTCTGTCCGTCTATTGGCTTTGGTTCTCAGCCTGGGGATGTGTGGGCTTCTCAGAGTGAGACACTAACGCTGTGCTGCCTTTCCTCCTGCGCTGGTCTCTGCAGGTAACTAGGATTTCTACCTCAACCTCGAGACCTGTGCAAGGACAGGTGAGCTGCAGGGCTGGTGGCCGACCAGATGGCAGGACGGACCGAGGACGAGGCTCTGCTTTGAGTCCATGCTGCGCAGACCTGCAGGAGATGCTGGGCCTGGCTCCAGCTTATACTGTCGATAGTTTTAGATAAAGTATTTATCGTTTTTTAAAAAGTATAAACAATTTTGACTTATTCCACCGAAGTCATAAAGGCAACCTATTAAGAGATGTAAATACTATATATGAGAGGATCTATATAAAGACATCAACCCGACGGACTGGCCCGCCAGCGGAGACGCCAATAGCCGGGCCCGGTGCTATCTCATCGCCAGGCCTTGCCATCTCCACGTTCTCTTGGTGCTGACTCGAGGTTGACCAACGCCAAAACCAGTCCTTGATGCGCCTGCCCAGTCATCCCTAAGCTCTCCCATACCAAAGGCATGCCTATCTCCTGGTCAAGGGTGGTTCGCTTGGTTCTTAATGCCCCTCAGAAAAGGCCCTCTCCCCTACCCCATCACTGTGAATGCTCCAGCCAGACTGTCAGCCCGGGTACCTGGGATGGCACCTTTGGCATAGGAAGGGCCTGTGGGCAGCCTCTGGATGCTGCACAGAGGAGGGCTGTGTGTGGTGCTCATGGGGCAGGTCTGGTACTTGACTCCAACGTGGGGCTGCTGGGGAGCAAGTGCTTTACTTTTGTATGTCTGTACTGTCTTGGGCTTGCAGTCCAGTGAGGCACTGGCCGGGGCATGGGGCAGGTTAGCCATGGGTGCCTGGTGTGTCTGTATAGAAGAGAGTCACGCTGATGAGTGACAGTATTTTATAGAGATGTGATGAAAATTTATAAATTTCATAGACTTGATTTCATTTATTTTTAGATTGTATGATGCACAGTAAATGTAAAAAAAAAAAAAAAAGGAAAAGTGAGGGGAAAAAACTTATTTATTCAAGTGCACACAAGTGGCGTTGTCCCAGGGCTAGAGCACCTCACATCCCCCTGGTCAGCCTGTACCACTGCTCCACTGCTTCAATCCTACAGCTGGGGTGACACCTACCCCCATGCTGGAGCAGCCTCCATGGTGGTTGGGAATGAATGCACCATGGATGAGCAATGATGGCAAAGGCTGGCTTAACGGGAAGGCAAGAGAGCTGTTCTGATGTTTCCAGAGGCTGCCAACAGGATTCTCCAGTCCCTTCAGAGCAGCAGTCTCTAACAGTCCTGGGTCTCTCAGTTGAGCAGTGTTTGTGCATTATTCCTGAAAGGGTGTGTCCAGAAGCCTTCAAGGTTCTCCTAAAGGGCAATCAGTCAAAGGTCCTGGCTGGTAGGGGGGCCTGGACCCCCAGGGGGGCACTGCAGGCCTGGCTCTTCTGACACTTGTCCCCATGAGGTAGCACCAAGGAACATGGGAACTCAAGCCTCATGTTCCTGCTTTTCCCAGCCTGGCTAGCATAGCCTATCCCTCCAGATATGGTTAGCAGGGGCCCTCTGCCTGCCTGGGTGGGTCAATGTGGCAGGGCTGGAGTAGGCCTTTCTTGGGGGTGGACAGTAGTCTTATGGAACACAGGCCCAAAAGGGTGCAGAGCACACCTGTCTGTTGACTCCCTCACTTCCTTGGGTGTGTCCTGGTGGAGCTCTGCCTCCCGTTTGCCCTGGGGTGATGCCTGGCCCAGAGCAATAGTGAGGCTGAAGATGGTGCTTAGACAGGTTCTTCTAACTAGCTGTCCTGTAATTGCTGCCCTGGCTCCCTTACCTCCAGGTCTGTGCTCTTGGCATACGAAGGTGCTGTGTTCACCCCACATCCCGCAATCCTGTCCTCCAGCACAGGGCACCCTAAAAAAGCTGCAGGGCTAACAGTAGCAAAGTTGCAGCATGTAGCGAGTCCCTGGTCTGGAATCAAGCAACCCTGTAAACACTGCATCACTTTTGTGATGACTGTGCCACTGTGCAGGACCTCCTACTGATGTGTCATCTGTGCTCCCCACACAACCATGTCTGCCTGAGGGCTGTGGTCTCCTTTTTGTGTCCACCCTCCAGCCCTCCTGACTGTGAGATTGATCAGCCGCTGTTGGTATTGAGGGCAGCAGGGCCCACCTCCCTGTGGAGAATAGGTTCTAGTCTCTGGGCAGAGACCAGTCTGCTCTATGGGCAACTTCAGGGAAGCCCAGGGCTGTGAGGGCGCTTTGCTCAGGAAAATCTAACTCTGAAGACCCTCCCCGTCAGGCACCAGCCTTCCCTTTCAGCTATGATGTGATTTATTTAAGACCTGCTTGCCTTTTTATTTATCCGCACCTCCTGCAGGAGACTGTTCACCCATTGCCCGCCCCATTTCATTCCCATGGTCCATGCATGCTGGCTTGTGTCTTGTGTCTCAGGCCAGCCCTGCTTTGTTGTTCTGGTAGGCCATGTTTCAGTTGGGGGTGCTGGCATGGCCCATCCCTATGGGTTGCTGGCTTGACCCTCTTTTCCTAAGGGAACCCCACCGCACTCTGATTTCCATCTCCAGACTGTAATAAAATGTTTGTTTTCACTTGAACCTGGTCTGCTGGCATTTCTCCCTGGTTACCACATGGTGAGACCTTAGCCTTGAGGGACCCATGTTGGGGAGGACCATCACACCCAGAGAGGCCCCACATACCCCTGAAAGCAGCTGTTGTGACTGAGACAGACTGAGTCCCCATCTGGGGAAGGCCTAGCCACCCTAGGGCTTACATCAGACTAAGTCAGGCCTCCCTACCCCACTCCCAAGGATGGCACTTTTTTGCTTGTTTTTGTTAATCCTCACCCAAGGATATTTTGTCCCATTGATTTTTAGAAAGAGGGAGGGAGAGGGGAGAGAGACATCGATTGGTCACCTCCCACACAACCCTGGACCTGGGCAGGGATTGAACCTGGAACCAACCCAGGTACATGCCCTTGACTAGGAATCCAACCCGCAGGCCCTTGGTGTGCAGGCTGATACTCTTAACTGCTAAGCTACACTGGCCAGACCAAGGACAGCACTTTTTTTTTTTCTTCATCCTCACCTCCAAGGGTATTTTTTCCATTGCTTCTCAGACAGTGGAAGAGAAACATCTATGTGAAAGAGACACATCAATTGGTTCTCTCTCGTACCAGCCTTGACCTGGGATCCAGTCTGCAACTGAGGTACCTGCTCTTGTCCAGAATCGAGCCCAAGACCCTTCAGTCCTTGGGCTGGGCTCTATCCACTGAGCCAAACCGGCTAGAGCAAGGATGGCACTTTTGGTGAACTAAAACTAAACCCTTCCCAAGGTCTTGTCTGCACTCAAGGGGTCAGCTTGTGACCAAAGGTGGGATCATGGGCCTAAGGATCCCATCACCCCACCCCACCCATTCTCCCTCAGGGTCCTTGAGCTGGGCTCCCAGCCTCCCTGCCTTTCTAGGCTCTATGTTCTGGGTCTCCTCCCCTCATTTTGGGTGGCCTAGCTAGCCCCTTCCTCCCAGGAACCCCACTTCCCTCGGGAACCAGCTCCACCAGCCTGTGGAGCATACATGTCCCTCTTTGCATTCACTGCACCGTCCCGTGTGAAAAAGAGGTACCTTTATTTGACCAGAACAAGCATGCCAGCCCCAGGGCAAATGCTTCCAACTCTGCCGAGAGGTGTTGGCCAGGCCCCAGCCCTCAGCAGAATTCACAGCAGTCCAGAAGGCACGGCCCCAAGCCCTTCACAGCATTATCTAGCTTCGTACATTCAGCCTGCATGGGGCAAGAAAGCTGCGCCAGCCTCACGCACCCGCCAGGCCCCAGATGGACAAGCCTGAGGGACTAGGCACAGCTCCTGGGAGTGGACACTTGTCCCCTAGCAGCAGCATGTGGCACTGAGAGGTGCTGGACTAGTCTGATGGGTCCCAAGGCACACAGCCTCTGCCCACACTCACCAGCCTTGGGCTACTTGAAGTCTTTAAGCCAAAACACCTTACTCTGAAAATCCAGGCTTGGCCAGGAAACCCAGGGCCCAATGAGGGTGGGGAGGGCTCCTTTGTGCCCCAATGAGTCAAGCTGAGGAGGCCAAGCCCAACCCCAGATTCATGCCTTCAAGCCACTCAGCTGGAACCGGGCCTCCTCTGATATGCCGAACTGTTCCAGGGGATCCTGTGTGGTGGACAGGTGGCATGAGCCCTGGCCCAAGAGCTCCCCCCACCTCCCATGCCCCATGCACACCTTGCCGGTCATCTTCTGAATCTCGTTCCTGTAGAAGATGAGGCTCCTGCGCATGAACTCATAGCTGGGAAGGGAAGTGGCCTGTGCTCAGAGCCTGGCTCTGCCCCTGCCCCTGCCCCAGGCCCCCAGGCCCGGATACACCCCACACCCCACACCCCACCTGGCTCGTCGCAGAGCTCCCATCCACTCCTGACACTGCTCCTCGCTGCAGCACTCAAAGTGATATTTTCTCTCTGGGTCCTCGATGAAGCCTGCAAAGGAAGGGACCCCATCTGTCCCTGCTCACTCCCATAACCACCCATGCTGGCCACAGGCCTCAGCTGCCTGTTGCCACTGTCCACAACTATCCCCTCCTCTAAACCCAGCTTGGGCCCATCACTTCCCACAGGCTGTGGGTTGAATTGTATCCCCAAAAGGGTGTATTCAAAACCTAGCTCCTGGAACTTGGGAACAGGGCCTATTTAGGTATAAAGTCGTTGCAGGTGTAATTAGTTAAGGTGAGATCACACTGGAGTAGGATGGGACTAGTGTCCTTATAAAAAGGAGAAACCTGGACACAGACACACAGGGAAAAGGCCGTGGGACTACGGAGGCAGAGATCAGGGTGAAGCTTCTACAAGCCGAGGAACACCAAAGACTGCCAATGGCCTCCAGAAATTGGGAAAGCATGGCACAGATTCTCCCTCAGAAGGAACCAGTCCTGCAGACACCCCAACCTCGAACTTCTACCCTCCAGCACTGGGAGAAATAAATTTTTGCTGTTGAAGTCCCATAGTCTGTGGCACCACGTAAAGGCCACTACAGGAAACGAAAAGCTCCGCCTTTCCCTGCAGGCTGGATCCTCTCAAGGTGACCCAAGAGAATCCAACAGGGTCCCCAGCACAAAGCCGGCCACTGAGAACCAGTGCTCCTCAGTTCTCACTGGAGGCACCCCGAGAGGGCAGCGCTCGCCAACAGGAGTGAAAACGCTGGTGGCCTTGGCGGTGGCACAGCGGCGGACCTCAGCCCAGCCCCAGATGGGGAATTTTGTTTCTGGGGAGGGGCAGAGCGGAGCTGGGGTCCCCGCCTGCCTAGTCCCCGCCCCCCGCACTCACAGATGGAGAAGCCGCTGGGCTCTTCCTGGGTGACTCTGCAATGCTCCAGCAGTAGAGCTCCGACGGGCTGGGGGCAGACGAGCCGGATGGGCGGGCCATCCGGGGACCCCAGCTTCCCGACCCCAGCCCAGGGCCCGCCTTCCCGCCGCCCTACCTCTGCCTCGTCGGTCCGGAAGTAGAAGAGGAAATTGACTACCAGCTTCACCAGCCGCCGTTTCACCACTGTGGACACAGGGCGGGCTCTCGCGGGCTCAGCGACCGCCCATCCCGACCCGACCCGCACTCCCGCCGGCCCGGTCTCCGGCCCACAGCCCTTGCCCCACTCACCGCTGCCCTTCTTGGGACCCCGCATGCCCAGCTCGGCCGCCAGCTCGGCTGGCTGCCGGGACAGCGCCTGGAGCTCTTTCTCGTTGTAGCGCATGGCGCCTCAGGACCCAGAACACCAAGCACCGGCCGCAGTTTCCTGGCAGCCGTCCCCGCTCGCGCCAAAAAAGTTCCACGGCGCCCTCCGGAAGTGCTACTGAAGCTATTACGCCTGCGCGTCTCGGCCTGTCAATCATAAATGGGCATTTCCTCCCGGGGGGGCCACAGAGTGGAGCCTTCGTGGACGTAGAGGATAGCGGACAACACAGAGGCTCATTATATGTAACCACACTATAAGTTGGACGCGGGTTGGAAAGAAAGCACCCCTACTGAAATGGACAAGAACAGGCGGAGGAGGGCGAGTCACAACCCTCCTTCCCGCGACAACAGGCCTGGCGCGAGTTAGATTGAGGTGTGTTTTTTTTTGAGAGCCTGGTGGGCATGCGCACTTCGGACTCCTGGCCTCATTCTAAGCCCCGCCCCCTTCCCTCCAGCCTCTGGAGTGTCTTGACCGCGCTCCTGGGCGGGCTGAACTTGCGTACAGGGAGGTTCCGCCCCTTTTGCCTCCGGAAGTGCTTCCTTAGTCCGCGGCACTTGTGCGCAGGACGAAGTCGTAGTGGCCGTGGAGGCTGAAAAGGCGACGAGGGAATCGCGGCCTTGGGTGTAGGTGAGGAGCGAGGCTAGAGCGGCGGCCACGGTGCCCGGAGTTCCCTGGAAGGGAGCAAACGTGGGCGAGGGGCGCCTGCGGTGCGGCAGAGGGTAGCGGATGCGTTGCCCACTCGATAATGTAGGGCCTCTGTGTCCCCGGCGCCCCACCGCTCGCTTGGAACTATACAAAGATCTGCTGAGATCGTGTGACGGTCGCAGCTCACGTGGCGCCTTCGGTGTAACCGAGGACCTCTGAGCACTAATTTGCGTCCGTTAGTCAAGGCTCCGCTGAGCCTCAGTTTCTATACCTAGAATGGGGGTAATGGCGATTACGGGTCTAGGCCAACTAAATAATAAGTAAGGTCCTGGTGACAGAGTGCCCCCACCGCGCCGAAGGCCACCAGAGCCTGTTAGCTGGCCCCATTTCTCCAGCGAAGCCTCGAAGTTAAATGGCTTTCCCACCGGCCAGATCGCGATGCCCAGACCATTTTTTCCTATACCCTTTGGCTACGCAGAACGAGGGAGTGAAGCTCGCGATAATGTTTGCCAGTTCATAAAAAGCTGTCATTCATCCCTGCACCCTCCTTGGCCCCAGGGACTGCTTCTGCTCAATGTTTAATGCTGGTCTTTACCTTTATAAATAACATTTCTTTCTGGATGTGTCGGTTTTGGACGGGGCCTTCTGACTTCCTCCTGTGATTGATGAGGTCGTATTTCTGCCACCTACCCACTCCACCTTCACCCCCCCATACCTGGATGTGTTTATGTCATGAGCATTAGTCAAATCATTAGTTATGTGTGTTTTTTTAATGATGTTTTTCTTTTTTATTGATTTGAGAGAGGAAAAAACCACATTGATTTGTTGTTCCACTTAGTTATGCATTTATTGGTTGATTCTTGTATGTGCCCTGATGAGGGATTGAATTCACAGCCCTGGTTTATCAGACAATGCTCTAACCAACTGAGCTACCCAGCCAGGGCCAGTTCTGTTTTCTGAGACTGAAAATATTGTTTATTGTTAAGGCAGTAACATGTTCATCTGTGCTGCTTTTCCTGTACTGTTTTCCTCCAAAGCTAATTAATTTCTTCATTTTTCCTGTTAACTTGATTTCCTTTTTATTTATTGATTTGAGAGAGACTTTGATTTGTTGTTTCACTTATTTATGCATTCATTGGTTGCTTCTTGTACATGCCCTAACCAGGGATCAAACCCGCAACCTTGGTGTATAGGGTTGGCATTCTAAACAACTGATCTACCCCGCCAGGAGCCTGATTTTCTTTGCCCGCTGTTAATTTTTTCCACAAAGCTTCAGCATTTCACACAGTGATAGGTTATATTTTTCCACAGGTTTAAACAAATTGATCCTTTTTTTTCCTTTTTCCCCAGATCCTGGGGTTCTGCTCCACTTGGTTCTAGTTGCTCACCTTATGGCGAAGCAGCTGTCCTAGAGCTTTGTTAGTGCTCTCCTGGGTTGGCTTCTGTTCAATCTGTTTTCTTCTCTTCCTTCTATAAGCTCATCCTCTGGTAGTTTTTGAAGAAATCAGTCGACCAATTGATTGATTTTTGAATCCTTGGTTATTTGAGAATGGCTTTATTTACCTTCACAGTTTGGGTATAAAATTAAAGTTCTGGCTTGAAGATCCACATTGAGACCTGTGAAAGTGTTGCTCCTCTTATGAATTCAGTGCTGTTCTGAAAGGTCTGGCCCCATTCTGCTTTCTGACCTATTATTTCTTTGTCTAGTAGAAACAGGGTTTTCCTCAGGGTGCAAAGTTTCATGAGCCATTTATTAAAGGTCTTTTTGTTTCTATGGGAAGAATTAGGTCATTTTAGTTCTGGGGCGTTTTCTTTTATTTCTTTGGTAATGTCTTTCTTTGATAATATTGTTTCTTTCTGTTCTCACTCTGGAATTCCATCTAGGTTTTTGCTCTGCTCCTCCCTTTTCTTTTTTTCTCCTTTATGGGAGATTGACTCCTACCTTCAAGTGTGTGCATTCCATTGTTTGGGTCATCCAGTCTCTACTTACCAAGGTTCACCAGGCTGACCTTTGGCATCCTGTTCAGGTTTCATGGTATAGTAACTTCTCTGGTAATTAAGGAGGGTGTTACCATCTTCTGTTGAGGGTTCCGGCAGGTTTCTTTTTCCTGGGGTGTGTTGTGGTGGTTCTTTGTGTCTGTTATGTGAAGTTACCAGCTCTGTGAGTGAGAGCCATGCTTTTTATCTTGTGGTTCTCACTGCTCAGTGGGCCTGGCAAGGAACTGGTGTTTTCTTTGGGGTATGGGGGACCCCCTAACTGTCAGTGTCTGAGAATACTTTCCCTTATGTCCTTTTCCCAGAAAAGTCTCCTGAAGTGCCCCTGGGCTGCAGGCCTCCAGGCTAGGCTGCCTGCCTTCTGGACATGGCATGGGGAGGGGTAGTCTGCCTGCTGGTCAGTAGCAGATTTTGATGGACTCCCCTTTTCAACCTGACCCTCACCCCTAGCCTCTCGTGCCTGCCTCTCTCAGCTGAGAGGCCCATCATAATGATCCAGTTTTTCTGAATATAAAACTAATCTGTCTGGGGAGCTGCGGTTACTTGGGCAGGGACCTTCCTCTCAGGGTGTGAGTTCTGTTTCATTTGGGATGCAGGTGCTGCCAGGGGAGGGATGACATGTGTGCCATGGGCTATGAGTAACCAACAGTTTGGTTTCCTATAGTTACTGGTTTTTACTCTGATTTGGTGAGCGGTTAAGTATTTGCTTGGTTTTCAATTTCCCTGACCCAATCAGATTCAGCAGGTACTTTTCTCAGCATCAGCCTGCCGCTACAGATTTAGGACCTTATTCTGGCCATTTAGGAAGGAACTGGTTTATTCCAATCCCAGGAAGACTGAAGACTGGACCCATGGGGGTTTTTAGACGTCATGTGGGGATGGGGGGGCAGGAGTGAGGGGTGAGAAATGGGTGGGGTGAGGGTATGTTGTCTTCATCTGCTCCCCCTGCTAGGCTTGAGTCCCCCAGGCCTGGGGAGGTCCCAGTGACAGCTGGCCATGTTTGACAAGCCTACCACCTCTCCCCTTTGCCCTACCCCCCAGATATTTTCCCAGTTCAGTAAAGCCCCAGGGCTCTCACCATGGACTTCCAGCATCGCCCCGGGGGCAAGACCGGGAGTGGGGGCGTCGCCTCCTCTTCTGAGAGCAACCGTGACCGTAGGGAGCGCCTCCGGCAGCTGGCCCTGGAGACCATTGATATCAACAAGGTGAGTTAGGGCCAGAGGGGTTGGTCCCCACAGCCTCCCTCTCACAATCGAGCCATGTTCTGAATTCTTGCACCTGTGCGCTTGAGCAGTTGCCTGGCTCTGTGGGCCTTGTGCGCCTCCTCTGTGAAAAAGGGAACTGGCAGAGGGGGGTGGAGGGGTTATTGGGGGGGAAAAGGGGAGCATCTGTAATTTTTTTTCTGTATTATGTCTTTATTGATTTTAGAGGAAGGGAGAGAGAGAAACATCAGTGATGAGTCATTGATCCAATGCCTCCTGCACGCTCCCCACTGGGAATCGAACCTCTGTCTCCTGGATCATAAGTCGATGCTCAATTGCTGAGCCACACCAGCTGGGCACATCTGTAATACTTTCAACAATAAAGATAAATTTTTATTTTTTAAATATATCTTTATTTATTTCAGAGAGTGGAAAGGAGAGGGAGAGAGATAGAAACATCAGTGATGAGGGAGTCATTGATTAGCTGCCTCCTGCACGCCCCCAGCTGGGGATTGAGCCCTCAACCCAGGCATGTACCCTGACTGGGAATCGAACCCTGATCGCCTGGATCCTAGGTTGATGCTCAACCGCTGAGCCATAAAGATAAATTTAAATTTTAAAAAATAAAAAAAGGAACTTGATCTAGAGCAGCATGCCTCCACTGCCCACCCAAGACTGTCTCCTTTAGTGACCCCATATCTGAAGGGTTTTTTACTATGTGAGTCATTTTGGTTTTCATTTAATAAGCCAGTGGCATGAAGAATCTCTAGTGGGGAGGGCCACAATGGCAGCACATAAATTGATGTAATTCCAGCCATAGGCAGTGAAGGGCAACATTTTAGTTTAGCCACAGAGCTGTTGGTGGACCAGTTCTTCCCATGGGCACTGCTGACGTTAGTCTGTGAGGGGTGTTCCTGGGCACTATAGGATGTCAAGCAGCATCCCTCCCCCCACTCAATGCCAGGAGCACCCCCCAGTCATAATGATCACAGATGTCTCCAGGTATGTCACCCAGTGTCCCCTGGGGCAGAGTGGCCCAGGTGAGAGCCTGACGGTCCTTGTATGGTTCACTGTAGACTTTGAAAACCCCTGAGGTGTGTGAGGCCCTTACATGTGCCAGGTACCCCCAGAGCCCCTCAGAGGCCTCACTGGTGAGGTCAGTTCTATTACTGTCCCATTTTCCAGATGAAGAAACAGTTGGGGAATGCAGGGATGTGGCGTGGGGGTGTCATTGTCAAAGATAACACGACCCCGGGGTTGTGGAGTTAGGATTTAAACGCTACAGGTCTGCTTCGCATCTGTTGTGAGCAGGACTGCCATGCTGCCCTGGTTTATGGAAAGTGACCTGTCCAGCACATAGGACTTGCAGAAATATAAGTTTCCATGGCCTTTCTCTTAACCCTCTCGCTTGTTATCCTCTGCCTGTGTCTGCCTTGTGCTGTAACATTTGGAAGGCTGGTGGAGTTTATAGCCAGATCCCTGCCCCAGCCCAGGAAATGGATGACCAGCAGTGCTCTTTGGGCTCTGCATCCTTCCAGACCCAAAACTGCCACCAGTGTGGGGCCAGGGCCTCCCTGGAGAACCCTTCTGCTCAGAGGGGGGGCCAGGGACCATCAGTGTCCACCCCTGCCCCAGGCTCTTGTTGCAGATGTAGAGTCAATACCCAGCCCTGCCAAGTAGACTTGGGTGGTCCTGCAGTACTGCCCTAGAAGGCTCTTGCCAAGCTGGCCCCAGGCTTCTAGTCCTTCATCCCAGAACATTTGCCCCAGAGGACAACAGCCACCTCTCCCTTGCCAGCCACAGGAGAGCCCTGCTTCTCAGGCATTGCTCACGACTGGCAGGGCTCATGGTGCCATCTCCCTCGATCTAATGGACTATGCCTGCCTCCCAGGACCCTTATTTCATGAAGAACCACCTGGGCTCATATGAATGCAAGCTGTGCCTGACACTCCACAACAATGAGGTGAGTCCTCAGCGCCCACTCCCTGCATGTCCACTCCCCACCCCTGTGGATAAGATCGCTGCTAGGATGCGCTGTTCCCACCCATCCTCCAGGCTTTTGCCTTGTTAACCTGTTGTTCATAACTTGGCCAAGGGCGAAGGAGCTGATTGAGGCCCGCCACTCACACCTGACCACTTACTCACTGAGCGCAGCTTTAAACACGTCTTTCTAGGAGAAACACTGGTCACTCCATATGGAGACCTAGACATCTCTGTCCCCAGCCTTCGTCCTTCAATCCCGGCCCCCAAAGGCCACCAGTGGCGTGGATTTGCTACTTGCCCATTTTCCTTTAATACTATGGGTGCCATTGTTACACAGAGATGTACATCTGTGAGCATGGGCATATCTTGGGACATTTGACATTGGGTTTTGAGGTCTACTGGTGTGGCTCCAGTTCATTTCCTTTAACGACTGTGAGATTATATAATAGTTTGACGAGTTCTCACATTGGGCTCACCATGCAGCAATGAACAGGTCCTGTTTATCCTTTCCTTTCTGCATGTTGTCGAACATTCTTTGTTTTTAAGTGTGTTCACAACCATGGACAATGTGCCATTGAACAGCCTTGTATGTCAGGGTCTCGCCCTTCTGCACTGTGGATATTGGGGCCCTGCTCCCAGCAGGCAGAAGGCAGAGCAGGCCTGGTTGAGGCGGCATCCAGGCCCCATCCCTGCTTACTTTGTCCTACTCTAGGGGAGCTACCTCGCACACACCCAGGGGAAAAAGCACCAGACCAACTTGTGAGTATGTCATCTCTACTCCCAAATCGAAGCCTTGGGCCCCAGGGTCAGGAGCTAGCACTTCTATGACATCTCTGAGCCACACCAGACAATGGTGCAGAGGTGGTCTGGGGCCAGCTCATTTTATGATCAGGATATTGAGACCTGCCCATTATGGGTGGATGGGTAGGTGGATATGGCTACCCCAGTGTGAGCGGAGGAACAGGACGTGCTCCTTACCTAGCAAGTAGAGAGATGTGGGGTTCTTGGAAGGCCTCCCTAGTAAGGGACACTGGGAAATGTAACAAGAAGAGAAAGGTGCCTGTGCCTGTCCCATCCATTTCCATTCAGACCTTGGGACACCCATCCAACCCTGCCCCTCCCAACCCCCTCACCTAGCAGAGGCTCTCCAAGGTCGATGCGGGGGCAGGATGGCTCTTAGCGCCTGGGCCTGTGGCCTTGGCGGCCTGTGTGTGTGTGTGTGTGAGAGAGGCGGGGTGGGGGGAGAGAAGGGGCTGCAGTGCTGTGTCTGTCCCGCCTGCAGGGCTCGGCGAGCAGCCAAGGAGGCCAAGGAGGCCCCTGCCCAGCCGGCACCAGAAAAGGTCAAGGTGGAAGTGAAGAAGTTTGTGAAGATCGGCCGCCCAGGCTATAAAGGTAAGTCTGTCTGGGGATAGTCTGGCCCACAGCTGGTGCAGGAAGGAGTGAGCCTTTTGGCCAGGACCCTGGTCCCGTCCCTGAGCCATACACACACTGCTATTCACTGGCCTTCATTTGCATCCACCTTTCACTGCTTTCAGAGACCACCACCACAGCCCACCCGGTCCCCACCTTTTCAATATGAACTCAAACATGACTTTGTGGATGCCACTCCCCTGTGCACCTGTCAGGGTATCCTGAGAGCTCGTAGTTCTTTGCACTCCTAGTAAAGATGAGTGATGTGTAGGAGGAGCAGCAAGCCTGGTATGTCCATTTCCTATGAGCTTGGAACCAGGTCCTAGCTCCTCAACCTAAAGAAAAAGTGGAGAGAGGATAATGGTCTGTGTTAGTGGCAGCTTACTCAGCAGGACCATTAGCAGGGAAGAGGGCTCTGGGTACCTAGTTCAGAAAGCTGGCTACATGACCCAGTTGAAACATAGGGGACTGTGTTCTAACAAAATGTTGGAGGGTCCTGTGTGTGACTGGCATTGCAGACAGGACACAGCCTACAAAGGCCCTGGAACAGGCCTGCTTATGAACCAGGGCTACAATGGCAGGATCCACCTTTTGGCTGTGATAGGCCCTCTGTCTCTGTCGTGAGTGTAGTGGGGAGAAGCTGGAGGTCTTATGGGGGAGTTTGACATACCTGGGAGCTGTGTGGAGAACAGCCTGAAAGCCACAAGACTCTAATGCGAAGGGCACCCTCTCCTGGAGGCGAGGGTGCAGGCATCACTTGCTGTAAACACCCGGTGCCTCCTATCCTCAGTTCCTGCTCAGTGCTGTCCAAGGCCTCGGATCAGGGTAACAGAGCCATTCTCCTGCCACCACCTGTGTGGTCTTGGGCAAGTAGCACCTATAGCACAGAGCTCTCCCAGGCCTGGTTGGTGCCCTACAACCAGGTAACCTCCCATGGTGTCCCACCCTCTGGGGTCCTGAGTTTTGACAGGGTTACCAGCTGGCCTAGACCTGATACCCTTGTGTGTTGCAGTGACCAAGCAGAGGGACACAGAGATGGGCCAGCAAAGCCTCCTCTTCCAGGTGAGATGAGGCCCAGGGCCCTGTCATGAGGGGAGGGTCTCCTGGAAAGCAGTGCTTCCACTTGACTGTGTTCCCGCAGATTGACTATCCTGAGATTGCCGACGGTATCATGCCACGCCACCGCTTCATGTCTGCCTATGAGCAGAGGATCGAGCCCCCAGACCGGCGCTGGCAGTACTTGCTGATGGCTGCTGAGCCCTATGAGACTATCGCCTTCAAGGTAGCTTCTGCTGCCCATTCCAGGGGTGTCCTTCCCAACTGAGCCTTTTTTTCGTGGGAAAGGGCATCCTGAGGTAGTGCCCCCACCAAGAGCAGAGCCCCCGCATGTCTAGCAGTGACATGCCTCTGTGCCGGGCTGGTCACCAATTTCTCGGCTGTGTCGTGTGCCCTGACATATACTGGTGGACACAGTAGTGTAAACCATGACTTCACTAAGGTGATGGGGTCATTAAGAAGCAGAGCTAGAATGTAAGCCGTGTCTGGTACCTCCAGACCAAGCCCTGTTCCCTCATGAGGGCCTCCCCGGTCTGGGCCTGCTCTAACACTGAGGTGCAGTCCCTGCCTAAACCTGGGCCCTGGGATCCCTAAGGCCCATTTCCACCCCCTCGCCCTTGCAGGTGCCAAGCAGAGAGATTGACAAGGCTGAGGGCAAGTTTTGGACTCACTGGAACCGGGAAACCAAACAGGTAAGTCGCTCTAGGTCCAGGCAATTCAAGGACCTTCTGGCAGCTGCCCTGGCTGTCTGTCTCCCCACCCAAGGCCCCAAGGGACTCCACTCAGGTTTTCTATTTTTTTCCAGTTCTTTCTTCAGTTCCACTTTAAGATGGAAAAGCCGCCTGCCCCACCAAGCCTCCCCGCTGGGCCTCCTGGAGTGAAGCGGCCACCACCCCCACTGATGAATGGTTTGCCCCCACGGCCACCACTGCCTGAATCTTTGCCTCCACCTCCACCAGGAGGCCTGCCTCTGCCCCCCATGCCACCCAGTGGGCCTACACCTGCAGGGCCCCCAGGCCCTCCCCAGCTGCCCCCCCCAGCTCCCGGAGTCCACCCTCCGGCACCAGTGGTCCACCCACCAACATCTGGGGTCCACCCTCCAGCTCCTGGGGTCCATCCTCCAACACCGGTAGTCCACCCACCAACCTCTGGGGTTCATCCCCCTGCTCCTGGGGTTCACCCTCCAGCCCCAGGAGTCCATCCACCAGCCCCAGGTGTCCACCCTCCCCCATCTGCTGGAGTCCACCCCCAGGCACCAGGGGTGCACCCACCAGCTTCTTCGGTCCACCCCCAGGCCCCAGGGGTCCACCCCCCAGCCCCTGGGATCCACCCTCAGCCTCCTGGAGTCCACCCCCCTCCTCCTGGAGTTCATCCTCCAGCTCCTGGGGTTCACCCCCAGCCTCCTGGAGTTCACCCCTCCAATCCTGGAGTCCATCCTCCAGCTCCCATGCCCCCGATGCTGAGACCCCCACTGCCCTCCGAGGGCCCTGGAAACATTCCACCCCCTCCCCCAGCCAACTGAAAAGCTGCCCCTGTCAGTGCAAGTCTACTTTGCTGTTTTCCTGTTTTTTCTCTCTGATAGAAATTAGTTTTTGTACAGGGCTATGCCATGCCCCCAGATCTCATTAAACAGCCTTCTCAGGCACCTGGGTGCACTGTTATATCAGTGGGTGGGCAGGACACTGTGAGGTGGCCCCTCCACCATATGTGGGAGTGATTCAGGGTCAGACTTCAAGACACTGTGACCCACCAGCAGACTGGTTGATGGCCCAACATGTCAGCTGTGTCCTGAAAACTGCAGGGTGGAGGACAGGCATTGCCAGCCAGCCAGCAGTGGGTCTGGGGTGCAGCCTGTGGGAGGAGAACAAAGCAGAGGGTGCTCTTTGTCCTTGAGGTCTCTAAGCTAAGATGCTTGTCTTCCTGTTTTTTCTTCGTCCCCGGAGCCAGGTGAGTGGGCAGGAGACTTGAGGAGCACCAGCTGAGTCTGGAGACCACCTACTTCCAGCCCACACACCTGGTGGTCTTAACAAACCCAGACAACTGGTTTCTTTTGGGTCCTCGGGGAGGGGGCTCTTCCCCTCTGCCCTCCTCCAGGCCCAACCCCACAGCTGTTGATGTTTGGCCCTTCTGGGCTGGTCACTCCCTGCTCACATTCCCACTTCTGTCTCCAGAGGAAAAAACTCAAGGACAGTTGGACAAATCGGTCACAGGCCACACTTTCTATCACTGGTGGGAAGGAGATAGGCAGCGGCAGGGCCAGAACAGAAGGGGCTTTGAGGAGGCCCAGGCTTGCAGTGGAGCTCAGGCACTGGCCCCCAAGGTCACCTCCTGGGAGGCGATAGGGGTTGTCCTCCAGCACAAACACCCTGGGCTCTCCTATATAAGCAGGGTGGCCCAGCCCCTTACAATTCCCAGGATGTTGGCTGCACCTCTCTCCCTGTTGGTCTTGCTGCTATGGGCAATGGGGACTGTGCTGGGGGCCGGGACCCCTGGAGAAGAGGCCTTGCCTGGGGAACCCACTATAGGCACCGGGGGTCTCATCTTCCACCAAGACTGGGACTGGCCAGCCCCCCGGGTCTGGTCTCCAAGCAACCAGCAAGACTCCCTGTGCCTGGTGACTCTGGGTGGAGGCAGAAACAGCAGCAGCTCCCCCTTACAGGTGGTGGGAGTCCTGAGGGGCTATGAGCAGGCCTTCTTGGAGGCTGTGCATCAGGCCCACTGGGGGCCTCGTGACCTGGCTATCTTTGGCGTCTGCACCCCAGGCCACAAGCATGCTGCCCTGCCCCCTCTGAGGTGGCTTCGAGCATGGCTGGGAGAGCCTCAGGGGCAGCGGCTGGTGGTCCTGCACCTGGAGGAAGGTATGTGAGGGCCCATGGCTAAGGCTTGGCAGGATACCCTGCTGTGGTCCCCCGGCCATCATTCCCATTATATGATGACCATTATTCTCCCAAGTAAGACCTCAGGGCCCTTCTCTGGCCTCCTGGGGAGGTTGAAGCCTATGGCCCTGCTCACTTGAGCTGGGCTGTGAGTCTGCGGCCTGGGAGATATATGCCCTTATTTTTGCCACATTTGGGGCTGGAAGTCCCAAGTGAATACCTGGCTCCCAGACCACCCCTCCTGCACTGCCTGGGAAAGTTCCCACTTCAGGAAGGAGCCAATGGGGTTGGGGCCAGCAATCCTAAATATCCAGTGGGGGAGTGCCTGCTTACACAGCAGGCAGCCTGGAGTAAGAGGTGGCCCGTGTCCAGCGGCCACTGACTGCAGGTACACTTAGGGCAAGGGGCTGCCCAGGTGACACATGGGCCTCCACCCAGGAGATCCCCAAACCGAGACCTCAGGTTCAGGGATGACAGGCAGCAACCCCGCTACCCACCCTGAGTTCTCCCACCCATGTCCTGGCAAGATCCTACACCTGGTGTTCAGGGTTGTCAACCCCCCACTAGTGTCCCAAGGCTCCCAGTTGGGGTGGAGTGCGCTCTCCCTGCAGGACAGGCTTGGGCAAGGGGCTCAGGCCTCAGTGGTTCAGCTGTCCCCCTTCCCCATTATCCTGGTGGCAGTGACGTGGGAACCAACACCCTCGCTGAGGTTCCAGGAGCCTCCACCTGGAGAAATGAGCCCCCCTGAGCTGGCGCTGCTGGTGCTGTACCCAGGGCCTGGCCCAGAGGTCACTGTAACTGGGGCCGGGCTGCTGGGCGCCCAGGTACCAGGGTTGATTTGGGCATTCCCCACTCCCAGGAGCCCTCACCCATAGCAAGAGGTGGGGGTGGGGGGAGTTAAACTGTCTTGGCCTCAGGGAAAGGCTCCAGGTGTCCATGTTCAGGGTAGAACCTGGAAGGGGTGGTAAGGGCAGCTGGCAGAGCAGCGCTGGCATCCTGGGCCCCTGCCCAGCCAGGCTGAGCTCGCATCTCCTCAGAATCTCTGCCTATCCCGGAACACCGGCTACCTGGTGCTGGCGGTGGACCATCCCGCGGGGGCCTGGCACGGCCGGGGTCTCGCCCTAACCCTTCGGCACCGCGGAGATGGTAGGCAGGGTGGAGAGGAAGTGGGCGGGGGCCTCTGCCCTGGGTCCCAGCCCCTGACTCAGCCTGGAGCCTTTCCCTCAGGTGCCGCCCTGAGCACCACCCAGCTGCAGGCATTGCTGTTCGGAGCTGACCCCCGCTGCTTCACGCGGATGACCCCAGCCCTGCTCCTGTTGCCACGGCCAGGGTCCACGCCCATGCCCATGCCCGCGCACGGTCGGCTGGATACAGTGCCTTTCCCATCACCCAGGTGCGCCTGGGCCCAGCCCAGAGGCGCGGGGAGGTGGGGACAGCTTAGCCTCTCGCCTACACCCCGTCTCCCTCGCCTTCCAGTCCGACCCCGGAACCCGAGGAGCTGCTGCCCAGCACCGACCCCTTCCTGGAGACGCTCACGCGCCTGGTGCGCGCGCTGCGGGGGCCCCAAGCCCGGGCTTCGCCACCCCGCCTGGCCCTGGACCCTGCAGCCCTAGCCGGATTCCCGCAGGGCCTGGTCAACCTGTCTGACCCTGCGGCGTTGGAGCGCCTGCTAGACGGCGAGGAGCCCCTGCTGCTCCTTCTGCCGCCTGCCGCTACCACAGCCGGGGACTCCACGCCGCTGCAGGGCTCAGGGTCCTCGCCGTGGGCGGCGGACCTAGTGCGCCGCGTGGCCGTAGAGCTGCAGGCAGCTGCGGCTGAGCTGCGCGGCCTCCCAGGGCTGC